CAAGAAGACCCCTGTGCTGGCACTGAGGTGCTGAACCTCCTCTCCTGCCCTATTGTGACTTCTAGGTATCACCTGCATCTTGCTTGGAGCAACTGTTCTTGGGTGAAAGACAAAGGAGAGCAGGACTCGGGTGGGATGTCGAGCATCTGCTCAGAGCAGCACAGCCAAAGCTGCTTCTCTTGGCTGGCTGGAGCCCAAAACCCTGCTGGGTTCCTGAACACTCAGGTTGTGGCTGCAACCTTCAATCCCCAACAACCTCTTCCAGCTCCAAGGATCCAGCATCCACCCAAGGGAAACACTTCCCAACCTTTCAACCATTAAGCACCTTATTCCCCATTAATACAACCCAAGGTAAGTGACAATTAAGTACTTGATAGGTAAGATCTGCTGGAGGGAACACCACCCACCACAGCATCCCTAGATGTCAAGCCATGGGAGAGCTGGGCTGCAGCAGGGTTAGACTCACCCACAGCTGCAACACAGCCCATTGCCCCCTTCCTCTGCCACATCCTCGTCTATTGCAGAGTTTCCCCAGCAATAAGGTAACTCCATTTCTTCAAAATCCCCACTTTTCAGGACACTCGTCACCCTCCTCATCTTCACAAGGGAATAGCTGCAAGAACAGCACCAGCAGCTTCCAGACAGCCTCAATAACCAGGTTCTAGCAAAGACCTCCACTGCTTGGGCAGTGCTGTGTCAGCATCAGTCCTCCTCCCAGGGCCACGTGGCAGGTCAGGGTGTCACACAACATGAGCCAGAGCCACTCCAGTGAGAACCTACACAAGCTCATCTTCCTCAGGCTCATCCCCATTGCCTCGGGGAGAGCTGCCCAAAGCCCAGGCTCTGGGGAAGCCACAGGCAGTGCCCATGGGGACAGCAGCAAGGGCTGGATCCCACACAAACCATCTGCAATCACCCACCAGGGTAAAGCACAGGGACAAGCCACGTCCTGCTGGATTCCTGTGAGCCGATGGGAGCTGTCAGTGCACGCTCCGGTGCCAGCTGCCTCCTCAACCCCCACTTCCCATCTCCATGCCAAGCGCTGTTATCCCCAGTAGTGTCTAACAGTCATTAAGCCTGGTCCCAGAAGCAGAATGCCTCACCTGGTGGTACACCCACGTTCTGGTGACTAATGGGCACAGAGCAGCCAGGCAGAGCCAAAGTCGGTGCAGGAGAGCAGAAAGCAGCAGTGAAACACATCAAAGGCTGAGCCAAGGTAAAGATCTGGACTTAAATGCAGCTGGAGAGCAAATGGGGTGAAAGGGGTGTGGGAGGACGCCCCAGATGAGGCTGATCAAAGTGATTAGGACCTCTTAGTGCAAGCAGGACCCTGATGGCTTGTGCAGGGGGAGGATGTGGGGGTGATGCTGTGGAACTACTTGGGAAACTCCTGATAAACCAGCGCTTCCCCACCCTTGGCACTGACCCGTTCGCTCAGCACCAGCAGAGCTGCTCTGCAGGGGTTTTAACGCCAGGGTTGTTCAGATCCTGCCTCAGTCTCAGGCCAGGAACCTGGTTTGAGGTGCTCTGAGAGCTTGGTTTCTGCTGGGTCTGTTGGGGTTCAAGGAAAGGATCAGAGCAGGAGGTTAATTTGGCATTGAACAGGAATAGCCCCCAGCTATTGCTCTGCAATCCCACAGCTGAAACGTCACTTAGTTCCTCTTGCTCAAAACCCACCCACCACCCAGCTTCCTCCCCAAGACTCAATCTGTGTCAGGCTGTTTGCTAACCTGGATCTCTGGAGCAGGTTCAATGACTCTTTCTCAAAGTGATTTGCAATCTCTGGGGTATTTGCACTTTGGTTTCCACATGATCTGCCCCAAAAGTGCTGCTGAGCTCAGGACTGGCTTATAGAGCTGTAATGTGCCACTAAGGACATGCAGAGAGCATGGGACCTATGGCCCTGGGGAACAGCCTGACCCTTAAGGGCTGCTGACAAGTGACATCCCACAGACACAAGCCCACAGCATTAGGCTGTGCTGCAGCACTTGGGCTGTTGTTTTAATCAGAGCTAGATCTGGATTCTGTGCTGTCAGCTTAGTGGGTGACCTTGGAAAAGTCAGCTGGGATGGAACACAACTGCCCTGGGAGAGGATGGCAAAGCAAGCCAGGATCTCAGGATGAAAAGGTACTTAAAAAGTCACTTATAAAGGTATTTACCAAGAGAAGTGCTTGGTTCTCCTCCCCCCAACATACACCGAGTGACCCCAAGAAGCAGTTTTCCACCCCTCTCAGTTTACAGTAAACATCTCACTTGTGTGCACGCAGCTGCCTTTGCACATTCATAAATCACATCCAGCACACACTGGGCTGAGCTGGGCCGGCAGGAGGATGCTGCTGGGCAGCAGGATAGAGACCTAATGTACTGAGAACAAGAAGCTTTCCTCTCCATTTCCATCCCAAGCTGCTGGCATCGTGTGGTCTCTGAACACCCCTCCAAGCCCCATCCCTGGGGCAGGGGTCCTGTCTCCCCCCACCAGCCACACTCCTGATTTCCCTGCTGGATCATCCCTCCTGGGTGGCTGTAGGGGAGAAGTGGGCTGCTCTTCTCGCCATGGAGGTACCCACCAGCCGCAGGCTCTCTCCGAGGACAATATATAGACATCACCATCATTTGCAGGCTAAATATAAGCCTCTTCCTAGGAGGTGAGCTACATAAATGCCCCAGGCCCTTGCGATTCTCAGCATAAAGGGCTGCCTGTCCTTGCAGGGAGCAGCATCCAGCAACCCTCATCCCAGCAGCTGCTTGTCCCCATCACAGCTAAGGGAAACTGAGGCACAGAGGAAGGAGTGAGAGTCACTCCTGTTCTGCTGCCATAAACAACGAGTAGGGCTGCTCCATCACAGCTAGGGAAATCCAGGAAGGCCTTGGGTGTCATTGGAGGAAGAAGAAACAACATCCAGACCTGAATGAGAGAGAATTATCATCAGGACAGACAGTGACTGGCCAGGAAGAAAGGCTGAAACCAGCAGCGTGCTCCCCCATGTCCTGTCCGTGGCACCCCTGTCCCCCAGGCACTGAGTGTGCTGGTAGAGGGAAGCACCTTTGCACATCCATGTGCTCCCAGCTCACTGTTTGCAGTAGGCACCCAGGCGTGGTTATTGCAGTGAACTTCAGTCCCATTCCCAACACCATCAGCATGAGGTGATCACGTACATGGGAAAGCCCGTGTCTTGCAGATGCCCCTGCTCTGGCACGTTCACTGCTCAACACCAGGAGCACGTTGCTTGAGAACCACCAAGCCCATAGGAGCACAAAAACACACGTTACCCGCCACGTCTGCCCCCTCCATCCCATGTGGTTACCCTGGGAAGGGTTAAACCAAGGTTTTGCAGCGCTGCTGGTGTTCCGTGTGGCACATCCGGCTGAGCCAGCGCTGGAACAAACTCGTTCCTTTACCTTTATGCAGGCAGCGAGGAGGTCACCGCACTCTTGGCACCACATTGCCACAGTCCTTCCAGGTTGGGCTGCCCAGGGGAAAGGGTGTCCTGCAGCCCGGGGCAGGAGGTGGGTGAGAGCCGTGGGGTCTGCTGCCCCACTGGAGAGCCCTCCCATGTAAGCGGGCGTGCAGGGAGAGGTGCGGGGAGCCAGAAATGTGCTGGACAAGCTCAAGAGCTGGACAGGCTGTCTGGGAACAGAGAGGAGCTGTGTGCTTCTGCCTTTTATTGCAGGTTCGCTGTTGCCGGGGAGAGGCTTTAGGCTGTCATCCAGCTAATTCACACCAGAGAGACAAGCACTTGAATTAGTTGCATTATCTGCACCCGGCTAAAGTGGACAAAGGATTAAAGTGTGCTGAGCACCACCACCGTGATTTGCATCTGAGAGCCCCTTCCCACGGGGCCCCCCTTCTGCTCCCAGCCTTGTTTTTTGTCCTTTGGGCTGAGAGCCAGCATAAGAGCCCTGCTCACAGAAGTGATGCCGAGGTTAATATTGCAAAAGGGCTTCATCAAAGCTTTTAGTGGCTACTGAAGCAGAAGTGTGGGCCGTGAGCTGCGCACACAGGGGATGAGCTGCCCGCGCAGCCACACGCTCACCACCCTCCGCTTGACCAATCCTTGTCTCAACCTGAGGTATGGAACTAACTTTCTGCCCCCGTGGCATATATGAAATAATGAGCATAATCAAACTGCTTTTCACCCTTAAAGCGGCACACGAAACTCAAACTTGACTATTCTTCTAGGTCTGATCAGTATTTGAGTGCTGAATAAATATTGCACCATGCTGTGACCTTATGGGTGCTTTTCTGAGCTCATCCAGCTGCCAAAGGTGGTTTTTTCCTTATGCATGTTTATTCATGTGGATGGGGAATGCTATTGCGATGCGTTTCTTGCAGCTGGTCTTAAAGAAGTCAAAGCTGGGATTGCTTTGAAGAAGCTTTAGCTCTAAGCAGAGGTAAAGGAAAATCCCATCTATGATCACTGGATCCTAATGAATTAATGGCTTTAAAACTGGGTTTTCCCCACTAGCCCTGTGTGGGTAGGTGCAGCCTCCCTGCCAGGTTCACCCCAGCCCTGCTGCCACACGCAGGCTTTGTATGGTTCTATTTTTCTTGGCATTCGCAGGGTTTTTCCTCCTCTTCTGGGCACGAGGACTGGGTGACCTTAGCAATTGCCAGCAAGGGGACTCCATATGATGAAAGCAGGTGAAAGGGAAAATAAGGGCGGGAATTAGGTAAGGCCAATTCATTCCTCAGAGGAGGCGTGGTCCTGCCCTGTACCTGGCTGCGGCCACAGTCTTGTGAAATATAAAAGGGGAAGGCAGTTGTTTCTTAAGCAGTCGGTTGCCAGGATCCTGTGGCGAGAATGAAGGTTGGTGCTAGAAGAAATGCAGAGCAAGAGGTCTAGAGAGTCAGCTGCAAAAGGTGTGGGACGCTCCGGAGCATCCGAGCCTTGGGAATACCATCAGCTCTGCTCCACAGGCCCATTCGCTGGGCTGAGGGTTGCATGGTAGCTGCAGTTCCCTCCCCAGCAGGCTGGCTTGGGAGCAGAAAGAAGCTGTCATGTCCCAAGGAGGAGCAGGAGAACACAAATCTTCCAAGCCCCAGGACCAGGGCTGGGCATGGATGGTCCTGCTGGCTGCAGTGGTGCTGCAGGGCATGACACTGGGCTTCCCCCCCTGCATCGGCATCTTCTTCACGGACCTGCAGCGCGACTTCCAGGCCAGCAACAGCGAGACGTCGTGGTTCCCGTCCATCATGGTGGCAGTGCTGCACGGAGGCGGTAAGTGATGGGGATGCTCTTCACCACCTCCTGCTGCTGTGTCGCTGATGAGCAATGAGGGCACTGTTACCATTAAGGTTACCATTTTCCATTAAGGTGGATGGTGGAAGGGACTGGGAGGTCAGAGCAGACTGACTGGTTGGCAGTGCACAGCATCTCCTAACTGCTTTGACCACACTTAAGTTTCCACAGATACCAAGCTCCCTTTTGCCACTCTAAGAGACACCCAAGACTCTCGGTCAAAGGAGGCGAATCCCTTTCTCTCCCAGCATCTCCAGACCAGCGAGAACTTAGTTATTGCCCATAGCAGCTCTTCAAATAAGCCAGTGGGTAGTGCTGGAGCTTGGGTGCTTGCTTGGTTCATCTTGCATCCATGAGAACCCATCTTCTTCTATGTTCCACATAACAAGTGTGTTCTTTGTGGCTGAAACCCACCTCAAGCCAAGCTCCCTGAGGCTGCCAGCTGAGGCAGAGGATTAAGCCAGCTCCCTGGGCGGTGGCATTGGGTGCACACCCAGGCAGGGTGGACATGAGCTGGATTGATGCAGGATGTGGGTCAGGAGGCAGCCTCCAGCTGGAGAGGGTGGAAGAAGGTTGTGCTGTGTAAAGGAGGGAATCACTGGGTTTTCCCCTCGAAGATGATGTGGGAGGTGACAGGACATGGTACCCATCTGTGCAGAAGAGAAAAACAAGTCCCCAGCAGCTCGAGGGCTTCCCAGTGAGAGGCTGGTCCACGTTGCTGCTGACCCCTCCATGTACAGCTCCTTCTTACCTGACACACAGAAACCCCCCATACCGCATCAGGCAAACAGCAAAGCGCCCATTGACAGCCACATCCCTGAGCTGCTCCCCGAGTTCATACCTGCCCCTTCCAACACTGGTGAAAGGAGGCACTACAGGATGAAGAGAATACAAAGCAGAGCCTTGAGTCATGCTGATGTGAAGGCAGTGGCAGGTTCAGGCTCTCCTGTGCAGGGCTTGGCTGACAGCCATAGGAGAGAGAGTTTGCACCTTGGAGAAGCAGTTGGGTCCAGAGCTGCAAGGTGCAGATGGAAAGAGACCTCAAGGGAAGCAACCAGGGGAGGAATTATCACCAAAGGTCAGCAGAAATAGAGCAGCATCCTTGAGGGGTTGCATTTGGAAGCTGATGGTTATTCCCTGTGCTGCCTTCCATCCCTGCTGTGATTAGTGGGACGGAGCCAAACGGGACCTGCTGGCTCTGGGAAATGGTCTGAGGAGCAGCTCAGTCCTAACATGTCCAGAAGCAACAAGTCTGGCAGCATCTGCAAGAAAATATCTATTATTCTGTCTATTCTAATGAAGTAATTGTTCTGTAGGAGGCTGGGACCACAGTAAAAGGTACTATAAAGATGGCCAATAAATAGATCTAAGAGTTATAAGTTAGTCAAGGAAAGAACAGCCTCATGATAATGACATTCAGTAACAGAATCTGTCAGGGCACAGCCAGTGAATTACAAAAGGGTTATTACTCTGCTTGCCAGTTACGTCTCCCATTGCAGGCTGTCACCGCAGGGGAGTGCTTGTTCTTGTCCCCCAGGAGTGTAAGGCAGGAGTAGCACAACCAGGAAGAAAACCAACAAAAACCAGACATAAAGCTCAGGTCAAGCATGTAGGGCTTCTGCTGCAACTTCTGACCTCCTTCGTGGTGGGCCAGGCCCCGTTTGGTTCAGGTTCTTCACTTACATCCCTTATCCTGGCTCTAAATTGCTTTCTGCAATGTCACGGGTGTCTCTTGAAGATGCTGCTCCCTTTTCTTCTTTATTCTTTTTAATTCAGGGGAACTGAAGTGGGAGAACAATATTTGTGGCAAAAACGGGTAAAGGGGCAGAGAAAGGGACAGAGCAGCCTGTTCTCAAGGCGGCCAGTGTAGCAAGAAGGTCCTATGCAGGAGAGCTACGGAAGGAAACAGGGAAGGACACAGTGCAAACAATAACTCATCAGTTAGGAAGCCAAAGTTATCTCGTTGCCCATGCTATGTTGCTAGGTAAAAGTGATTAATGAGTATTTTGTTATAAGAATGGTTTGAGAGACCTCAGGATCCTGAGGCCATCTCCAAAAGGGTTGTTCAGGCCCTCACAGGTTCCTGCTCCTAGATATTCACACACATGTAACCCGCAACCCATGGTCATACAAACGCAGCACTTTTGTTGCTATTATTTTTGCAAAGGAAAGCCCAAAAGCCTCAGGCAAGTGAGAAATAACGTGTGAAACCTAGAAAGCACGTTAACAGGAATAAGTAATGAAAATCTCTTATACTTTTAGAGCCATTCTCATCGTTTTGGAGCATTCAATTCATGACTCCTGGCTACTGGGGTGGGTTAAACTGCAGAACCATCCTTAATGTCTTCCGCAGGAGGAAAATAATGCAGTCACCATCTGCTGAACACTTCTTCAAAGTCTGAGGTGGAAATCTCCCAAGCAGATCAAAATACAGGCAGCTGCTCTCCTCATTTTAATAATGTTCCCCCTGTTCACTCCATTATGTGGGTTCTGTTTCAAACCAGACATTGACTTAGGTCACAAATAAGCCACAGGTTATTTTCCCTGCACTGATTGACTCCTAATTCTGAAACTTACAGTCATTTGGCCTTTGCTCATATAAACTGAAGTGTTCAGAAGAGGGGAAAATTAATAAACCCTGGAAAAACCCGAACATCCTCAAAGGAATGGAAAAAGTAACTCTCAGATCCTCTTCTCATGCAGAGAGAAGCATGTTTCCCACTGGTGGGATGCAGGTCTGAACTAATAAACTGGTAATTTACCAGAATCTCATGGAATTCATCAGAACTCTATGACAAGTAAAGAATTAACTGACCTTAAACACACTCCGCCATGGCTCTTTGTTCTTTTTCTTATGAAGTAACACAACTCTTTGCTATAAAGCCTGCCAGCAATGTAGGTGCACAGAACAATGTAGGTCCAACAGACCACAGGTTTGGGCCCAAGAAGGGCAGAAGTGGGCTCTGGTCCATCAGAACCACCTGGGTCTCACTCCCACCTCTGTGGTGTTAGTGCTGGAGTGGCAGTGGGAACCAGGATGCACATGGTTTGCTCCTAGGCTTGCGTCCTGTTGGAAGTGGACACAGTGAAACCTTCCCACCCTGCCAGCTAAGCCAGGACAGGCACGTGCAAAGAGCTGTGCTGACAATAACAGTATTTTTCTGAAGAAGATGACTTGCAGGACTCCACAAGCTTCAGCTTGGATGCTGCTGCCTGAAGCTTAGATCAATTCCCACGTAGGCATGAATATACCTCAGCTGTATTCGAATGATCCTCCTCAATGATGTCTATCTTCTCCCATTCTTTGTCTAGTTCAGAGTCAATCTACCTTCTCTTGCAAGGAGTTTCACCAAGGTAGAGGACACCACAGGCAATTTAGGAGATTTTGTGGCAGAATGTTTGAAACACACAGGGAAACGAGTGCAAATATGCAAACAGAAACATCATCCGCTTAGCATCTCTTATTCAGAAATCCAATCCTTTCCTTTCTCAAATCATTCCCAGAATTTATACGACATGAGAACAGATTACACTTGAAAGTCCTTCTGCCATTACATTTCCAACCGTTTTAACTAAAAGCCATCACAGGGAAGCTTGGAAATCCTACTTGATGGCCAAAATCCACGCAGATCACAGAAGCCTTCCCCTCAGCTAACAAGTCAACCAAGCCCTTGGGAGGATTAGGGACTATATATTCTCTCCCTGGCTCCCTTACCACGTTGTGCTGCTGGGACTACACCAACGGATAACTGCAGCAATCCAGCAGGTACAAGGAATTCCCTTCCTCCCTAACTGCTTCCCTTTTGCTTCTTTGGTGCCAGGGCCCCTCTGCAGCATCCTGGTGAAGCGCTTTGGCTGCAGGTTCGCAGTGATGCTGGGCGGCCTGCTCAGCGGCGTGGGCATGGTGTGCAGCTCCTTCTGCAGGTCCATCAGCCAGCTTTACATCACCGCTGGCTTCATCACGGGTGAGTACCACAGAGCAGCAGGAACCCGGCTGCTGAGCTTCACCTGAGAGACGGGAACGGCAATTCCCGACTATGTGCTCACTTTTTTCCATTCATCCATGAAATTGGATCAACCAGGAGCAGCAGGAGACATGGAGCAGCCAGACTTGCCCTTGACATCCCTTCAACACACACCTCATCCAGCCAAGCTCACTTTCTCTCTGGAAAAACCTTCAGGTCTCCAGAGGGCAAAATGGAGAGCAAAGATACCTGTTCTGTTTAGCAGCTTCTCAGCCTTTTGGCTGTGAGGAAGGGAGGGGGTTTTCAGTCTTGGAATGTGTTGGGATAATATAATCTATGATAACATCCCTCCCAAGTTCCCTGGGTTTGTATTTCACCACTCCCAATCTGGGGCAATGTGAAGACATCTAACAAAAGAACATGTTGGTTTTGAACAGAAGTAACAGATGGGAACTTCTCCTTTCCAAATATTTCTCCTCTGTGACTGAAGTTCAGCTCTTGGGGGTTTTCTAACACAAAGAGATTCATTTCTTCAGCCAGGCTATGCTACTTTGGGACTAATCCCATTGGATCTTGCAAACTAAATGGTGTCCACTGAACACAGAGAGTAACTCCCTGAGCCTTGATGGAAGCATCAGGAAAGCAAAACTGCTTGTTGTATGCAGTGTAAAAGTTTTTAATGAACAATTCCATAGCAATTTTAGGAATGGCAGCCTGCCCCACACAAATGTCAGCTTACATCAGTATATTTAGTATAGAACCCAAGTACCTTAATTTATACACAACATCCCTTCTGTGGGGTTTCTGAGTATGAATCACTGTGGGTCGTGCAGCCTGGCAGGTGAGGAAATGCTTCAGAGGCAGGTAAAGGGATAAAATCATGGAATGGTTTGTATTGAAGGGACCTTAAAACTCATCCAGCCCCAACCCCTGCCATGGGCAGGGACACCTTCCACTAGAGCAGGTTGCTCCAAGCCCCTGTGTCCAAGCTGGCCTTGAACACTGCCAGGGATGGGGCAGCCACAGCTTCTCTGGGCACCCTGTGCCTCAGAGCTCACCTCAATCTCCCCTCGGGAGGTTAAAGCCATTCCCCTTGTCCCATCTCACCTGTGGGTACACCCTGTCTTTAGGGTCTTTTCACCATTTAAGACAATGCAGAGGGATCACGTGCTGTCATTTGCTCTTTTATTCTTACCTTTAGGCCTGGGGTCATGCTTCAGCTTTCAGGCAGGAGTGACTGCGCTGGGATTCTACTTTGTACGGTGGCGAACGCTGGCCAATGCCATGGCATCCACTGGTGTCTCTCTGGGTTTCACGCTGTGGCCGCTGCTTTCTCAATACCTGCTGGATGAGATGGGCTGGAGAAACACTTTCCTTATCTTTGGAGGAATACTACTGAACTGTTGTGTTTGTGGAGCCATCATGAGACCGGTTCAGCTCACTTCAGGGCCAGTACTTCAGTCATCCAAGCCCAGAGAGGAGCCAAGGAGAAGAGCAGAAGAGACACAGCTATCCAATGGAGCATCTTCTCCGCAACACGAGCTCCAGAAGCCAAGCAGAAGGACTGCATGCTTCCACGTGATGCAGAAGTACCTGGCTTTTGACATCTTCTGTCAAAACAAAGGTTACCAGATTTACACTATTGGCGTGACCTGGATGATGATGGGGTTTGCATTACCCCACATCTACCTTGTGCCTTACGCCATCCAGAATGGGGTGGAGGAGCGCAGGGCAGCTCTCCTCATCTCTGTTATCGGGTTCATCAACATCTTCATACGCCCCTTCACGGGGCTGCTCTCGGGACACAGAGTCTTCTCAGGGAGACGCATCTACCTGTTCAGCCTGGCCGTGCTCCTCTGCGGGCTGAGCAACTTCATCTGCGTGGTCTCAGCCGAGTTCAGCGTGCTCATCATCTACTGCGTCATCCTCAGCATAGCCATGAGCGGCATCGGGGCACTCACCTTCCAGGTGCTGATGGATGTGGTGGAGATGGACAGGTTCTCGAGCGCTCTGGGGCTCTTCACCATCCTGGAGAGCATCACGCTCCTCATCGGACCCCCTCTCACAGGTGAGGAGCTATTAAAGCAGGCTGGGGAGAAACTGCTTGTTTAGACACTGGTGAGAAGTGTTTGGGAAAATGAGAAATAAGGGAGATTTCAAACCCCATGCAGGCAGGTGAGTTGTGCAAAGGGAGTGATATAAAAGGGAGAATCAGAAAGGAAGGAGTTGTGAACGTCCCATGAAACAAATTGACTCTAATCAGAATTAATACCACTCCTACATTATTCAAGAGCCTTATAGTAAAAGCCTCTGTTCACTCTTCTTTCCAAGTTCTAGAGCATGTTGATTTTTCTCTGGAGACAAGAAAGGAGCGAGATATGAACCCAAAGCCAATAAATGATTCACAGATGTCACAGTTCACTCCTGCACTTACTTGCTCCTGCAGCACAGCAGCAAATTTAAAAGACCTGAGCATGAATGAGGCTTTAGTTCTCTTCTCCAGACAATGAGCTGTTTGCTATCCGGCAGGAAAATACCGTCTGTTCTAAGGACAGGATGATAACATGCACCATATTGCATGGTATTCCCTGGCATTAGTGGGTCAGTCACTGTTCTCAGAGAGCAAAAAAAGGTCTTTCCTTGGACATCTCTGAAAGGAGTGGCAGAGGGGAAAACAAAGGCCAGTAACAGCAGCACCAGTTCTATTTGTAGTCCTAAAATCTGCTAAAGAAAAGTGCACCAGGACAAGAAACATCACCAATCTTTACTGAAGAATACAAGCAAAGAGTACTCCAGTATTTCCATATAAATAAGTAGCCTACAGAAAGCATCGGACATTTGACCTGAGTATCACCTTTCCATCTCTAACACCAGTGTTCAATTACTCATTTGAAATGTCACACTTTAAATGTTTTATACTGAAGGCACTTAATGTTAGTCATGGTGCTTTCTGTGTTGTGAATTTCCTTCTCCCTGATTACACACTGTCAGAGACAAGGTTTCAGCTTAGAGACCCAAACGTGTCCATCTGGGAGAGATTTCTCTATTTACTTGTTCTGCTTTCTGACCTGGTATGTAACAGGGTCACCCAGTCCAAGATCCAGTGAGAGGCACAGGGCTCCTCTGCTGAGTGAGCAAAATCAGTCAGCACATTGGGCAAAACTCCCAACTTCCTTTTTTCCACTCGATTTCTCTGTGTGTTGTGATATACCTGCTACAAAAGCACAAACATCACTTGAGTCACAACCAATCCCTGCAATCTAAAGAGAATTTACCTCATCTGTGGATGCTCATCTTTTGTATATGGCAATTTGCTGACTGATTTAGGTTTAATATTCATGTAGTTGTCACCCCGTTGCCTTTAGTGTGCATCTTCTCTTTGACTAAGCTGTGGCTTCTATTTCAGGTCTCCTGGTAGATATAACTAATGATTTCCACTACGTCTTCTACAACTCCAGCTTCTTCCTGATCTCGGCTGCCTTATTCATGGCACTCACTTTCTGTGCTCTGGAAAAGAAAACCAGACTGAAAGAGGCTTCCAAATTACCTCTGGATAATCCTTCCAGGTATCAATACAGTGAAATGCCAACTGAATCACAGCCTGAAAGTCAACCCCCTCCAGCAGTCGTGTACATCACAAGCATATGAAAGGAAAGAAGACAAATAAAGAGGAACACAAACGATTACGTGGCCTGTACAAAGCTACACACGGCCCAGCTCTGGCAGCAGATGAGAGATCAAGTGTCTGCTTTCCACAACTGTCATCATCCTTCTGCACTTCTACTTCGCGGAGCCGTGTCAGCCTCCGAGTGATGTGGACCACGGGCTGAGCCCAGATCCCAGCACCAGCCAAAGAGATGAAGGACAAAGAGAACTGTGCTTCCCCAAAGCAAACCCTGGGATAACAGCCATGGTAACCGGCGCCGAGACACAAAAGCCATGTCAGTTCAATTGGTGTAAATCAGTGCCTTTAAGTCACTGGAATCTCACATGCACATTCCAGTTGGTAACACTGGATAATACGCATTAATGGCTATGCACAATGGTCAGTCTTCCACAAAGAAGTATTATTGCCTCATCTGAACACATGATTTTGGTGCAGACTGTAGTTTCCTGGTTGCTTTCCATGTTGGGGGTGGCAGCTTCCACAGGAAGGCTCTTATTCTTTTCCACATCTCTAAATATTGTGTGGAAGCTGATGCATGTGCTGCAGAACTCAGCCAAGTCTCTAGTAAGAGCAAATATTTCCTCCTATGAGGTACATACACAAGTTCTTCATGCCAAGGACATTTTCAAAGCCTCGAAGGCTCAACTCCAGAACATCAAAAAGAAACAAACCAACCACCCTTAGAGTGCCTGCTTTGTATGACCAGTGACATCCCAAGTGCTTCTTGATATACCATAAACAGGATTTGTGGCTTGTGTAAATACACTTCTTTTCAGCATTAACTGGAACCCATTGTTGCAGAGGGAGTGGTAGCAAAGGTGTTACTAGACCTGAGATTAAGTGTATACATCCTTAGGGGGCCAAATTCAAAGCCACTGTAGGGAAGGAGTTTGCAGTACACAAAGCCCTTGTGTAAATGAATCTAGCTCTTTAGTCTTAGCCTCTCAGACTTCGTTCCACCAGCATTCTCTATATTCCAGAGTGCTTGCACAAGCATAACTACACTTCTTATAAGCACAAGCATAACTTACAGAGGAGTCTGTGGGGAAAAGTATAGTGAGAAAAGTCAATTTTATTGACTTCCATATCCATATGGCCTTGACTGGAAGTAGCTTTTCTTGCTAAACACTCCTGGGAATTACACTCGTAACTACTAAGACGAGAGCTGCCTGAGCCTCTACCCTCCGTTAGCATCAGCTTGAGTTGCACAAAGTTTATGTTCTCTATCATTTCTTATCGGACAGGAGCAGATAATACAATCATAAAAATGATTAGGTTGGAAAAGACCTTTAAGATTATTTGAGTCCAACCGTTAACCCAGCACTGCCCAGGCCACCACCAAACCACATCCTCCAGTGCCACATTACACATCCTTTAAATCCCTCCAGGGATGGTGGCTCCACCACTGCCCTGGGCAGCCTGGTCCAGTGCTTGACAACCCTTCCCCACCTAAACC